AAAAAACTATAAAAGACTGGAGATGTAGCTCAGTGGTAGAGTGTCTTTGAGTTCAATCCCTAGTATCAAAAAAAAAAAAATTCCCAGGAGACTGAAACCAATAAGGCTCAATTATTTTTCTGTAGTTTAAGTGTTAACAGGTATTCTCTCCTGGCCACTCCTGCAAATTATGTTATGACTCAATATCTCAGAGCAGTGTGCTTCCCTAGGCCACACTGTCACCGACCCACACTGGAACCAGAATACCCTGCCCTGAGACCAGGACAAATGTCCTGCCTGGCCCTCCCGTGCTCATATCAGCAATGCAGCCAGTGATGGATCCCCTTCTCAAGCAGATCAATGTTATCCACATAACAATCTTCTTAGAAAAGCCCTTACCTCAGCAATCTGATGTTGGTTTTGCTTATATATATAAAAAAAAAAAATCTAGATCACAGCACATCTGCCTACTTTTTCTCATTTCCTCCATCTAAGACTTGGCTGGGGAGGCAATGGGGGAGGAGGAGTGGGTGATTCAGAGAGAAATTCTGTTGAGAACCTAAGGTATGGGGGTGGGGCAACCACACGTGGCTTCTATTATAAGGAAACAATGAGATACTAGGGATGAGAAAACCCAGATGGACTCACCCATTAACCTAGTTAGCAAAGGCGCTGGGATTCAGACCCCTGCTTTCCTCAAACACATTCTACTCATCACCTGCTTGAGCTCCGAAGAAAACAGTGCTTCCCAGCCCACCACATCTCTGCCAACCAACACACCCATCCCCATCTCCAGTCACTATTTATTCCTTGTAAACACAAAGTCAGCTTCAAACTGGTGTCCAAACCTACATTTAGTTGACCCTCCACAAAACTGCAGCTTCTAATAGTATCATCTAATGGCACCTTCTAATGGTATCGTCTCCAGAATGCAGCCTAATTTTGAAGAGTCCTAATGGACTCTCTGGTAATTTCAGCTCCAGGAAAATACACTGGCTACCAACATAGGCTTCGGCTTTAGACAAACTTACATTCAAATGTGGACTTTGCTACTGATGAGCCGTGTAAACCAAGCAAATGACTCATTGCTTATCTGCAAAATGGGGTTGATGTTATGTACTTCATGGTATTGTGGTGTTGATTGTTAAGTCAATATGCAGGAAATACCAAACACAGTGGCTTCCAAGAGTGATACATACACACACACACACACACACACACACACACACACACACACAAATAAATCTCTTGATGTACACGAGTTAAAACATCAGTGTTTAAATTCCATTGCCATCTGAGGGCTGCATCAGAAGAATCTAAAAGTAGTACTTAGAGGGCTGGGGATGTAGCTCAGTGGTAGAGCACTTGCCTAGCAATGTATGAGGCCCTGGGTTCTATCCCCAGCAACACACACACACACACACACACACACACACACACACACACACAAATAGTACTTATAGCAAGTTTAAAATACTTGAAATCATGGTAACATAGGACACTTTTCTGCTTCAGGTAGAGCTGAAAAGGACATTTTGTGCAACGTGTCACATAGCTAGTGACTAGAATAAGATGCCCCAATTCTAAGATCAAGACCTCTTTCATTAGATCCTAAGACCTTGCTGGCTTTGAGCCCAAGTTGAACTGGCTCCTGAAAACCTGCTCTGGCACTGGGATGGGGGGGGGACGAGAATCAGAGACTAAATTATATTGAGCCCGTGGTGGGTTTTTTGGTTTTTGTTTTTGTTTTTTTGAGTCAGCTGCTCTTTTTCCACTTGTTTGACCATTTAGGACTGAATTCTCCAATTCAAAATTTCATCCTGAGCTGACCTAAAAGTTTGGAAGTCTGTGAGGACTGGAACCTTCTCTACTCATATCCCCTAGGATACAGCGCTCAGGACAGTGCTAGGCAGCCTTACCTAACTTTGCAAACACACATGTATTTGAATCAAAAGGATATATTTCACAGATCTGCCTTGCATCCATCCCTCCACCACCTCCAACTGCTTCTGGTCACCCCTCAGCATCACCCTCTATTTCACTCTCTTGTTCTCTGACAACAGTGAAGTTGGAGCCATGCCATGCCCATACACACACAGGAAAATCATGCACTGACTTCTTTTGAATTCCTTGAAATTTCTCTGGGGCTGCCCACCATTTCCTTCCCCAAATTCACACCATCATGCAGCACATTCCACCACATTCACAACATACACACTGGGACATCCCCTCTCAGATAAAAGTGGACTTCTCCTCTGAGCCAATCTCTCAGAAACACACTTAAGAGGATAAATTCATCAGTGTTAAAAATGTTTACCCGAAAGAGTATGATTTCCTCTGGGCCAAGCCCCTTTATTACCTCTGCCTGGATTTTATAATACTACCCTAAAAGTCCTCTGTGCTTCAGTCTGTGAGTTTCCCACCATTCTCAGTTCTGCTTGATATATGCAAACAATAAGCAACATTCAAACGAATAAGGACAGGCACAGTGGCACACGCCTATGACCCCAGTAACTCAGGAGGCTGAAGCTGAAGGATCACAGATTCAAAGCCAGCCTGGGAAACTTAGCAAGACTCAGTCTCAAAAGAAAATAATTAAAAGGTCTGAGATGTAGTTCAGTAGCACAACACACCAGGATACTGAAAACACTTTTAAGTAAAGAGGTTAAGTTATAGAGAAAACATGTATGACACCATTTGTGTAAAACGAACAAACTAAAACCTATATAAATATAGCGAATGTCCAGAACTACACTGTTCAATAGTCACATGTAGCTAGTAATATTTATTTATTATTTCTTTTGGAGACAGGGGCTCCCTATGTTGCCCAGACTGGTCTGGACCAAACTCAGGCTCCAACAATCAGCCTGCCACCTCACGAGTTAATTTAATTTGACTTAAATAAGATATAAAATAGAGTTTTCCAGTTGCATTAGCCACATTTCAAGTGCTCAGTTGCCACTTAGGGCTATTGCCTGTATTAGACTGTGCAATTCTGGAACATTTCCATCATCACAGAAAGTACTATATTGCACAGAGCTAGTCTAGAAGGGCAGACATCAAACTTTTAAAAGTGGTCACTTCTGGGAATGAAACTGGGTTGATTAGGGAGAGGGACTTTACTTTTTACATTATACAATTTCTTTGTAATTTAATGTTTTGTAATGAGAGTGGATTACTCATAATTTTAAAAGAAAACTTCCTAAATTGGTTAAAAAGTAACATTTAAAAGTGATTAATTTACAGAGAATCTAGGTCCTGAGCAAACTTTCCAGATAGAGGAGTAGAATGACTGTACAATTATATTTTCCAAACAGTCCCAGGTAGACCATCCTTCTATAGTATCACCCTTCACATCCACGCATACACCCTCCACATACACACATCCTCCAGAAATATGTCAGCAAGCTGTGAGTGAAGCAGCATCTACCAGCTGGAGGAAGCAAAAGAGGTATAAATAAACCTGCCCTGACTTCAAAGAACTTGGAATCCTACTAGAAGAGCAGATAGGCCCATAAATGATGGACATTATAATAACTGAATGGCACACCAATGAGAACTCTACTGAACACTTACTGGGCATTTACTGTGTGCTGGGCCCTGTTCTAAGAACTTTACAAGAATATTTCGTAATGACCACAATAGGCCCCATGAGGCAGGTATTTCAAATTTCATTTTTCAGGTAGGGAAAGAGGCCTAGAGAGATCAAGAAACGAACCCAGCATCCTATGACACATGTTCAGGGGCTTGGGATGCGGTACCTTGTTCTTATGGTAGCCTGGGGAAAGATGAGTTTCATTGGGAAGTAAAGACCAGACAGTTCTGAGCAGGGCTGGGGACTGGGGAAATAACCACTCTGGTTTCTTTTCCCCCAGGTAACAAAAACCAATACCAACCAGCCACGGAAGAAAAAAGCCTTACTATCTACGCCCAAGTCCAGAAAGCAGGTGTAAGTTCTCTACTTTCCTTGGGAGGGACCTGCCATATTTCCCACAGGATTCCTGGCCAGTCCACCTTTCGTGTCTGACATTCATGGCTCTGCGTGGGTTATACAGCAGAGGAGACTAGGGAATGATAGGTCAAGAACCAGAGCTCTCCTGGAGGTCACTAAACCAGTGTCACATGGGGCTGTTTATTATTTGAAATAGTGGGAAACACTGGGTGATCTTCTGGTCATCTACTTCTTCCTAAGAAAAAAATGAGCAAGCTGTGAACGTATGACATATGACTCCTTCCAACTCGGGCCTTCTAGGAGTGCAGAGTTCTCTGTTACCAAACTCTCCTTCTCTGGGGAAAAGGGTGCAGGTTTGAGAGGAGGAGAGGGGATGGTTTGGAAAGGCTATAGCGTGACCTGTTGAACTGACTCAAGCTTAGGAAGACAGCAAAAGGGATAGGGAAGGGGGGATCTCAAGGATTCTGGCTAAGAGGGTGGTTGAAGTGGAAGATTGGAGATGGAAGAAAGCAAAACTGGCATTGTGATCACAGGACTAAGAAGAAAATGATGGGGAAATTGAGACACGATGGAATTGGGGGAGCAGATACCACTGGATATAAGAGGGAGGGAGGCTGCAAGGACTGTGGTCCAATGTGGAGCCATTGTCCTTTTTCAGACATGAAATCAACTCTAGGTGATTTATAAGCCAAAAGCAGGACTTTTGGGAGTGTGGGGGGGGGAAGCAAATTCTGGAGTAAAATATGTGAAGATAAAGACAACTTTGATTAGTACTTTGGAAAATTGCATCCGATGACAATAAATTCCTTTCTGAGGACCAGGAGACAGATTTCTTGGACAGGGCTCTTATTTCTGCTTTGTCCTAGTGATCTGGAGGCTTTATTACACTTGCTGAAAACAAATCTCCCTTTAAACATAAGCAAGACCCAAGAGTAACCGCCTTATCTCTTGCATTTGCACGTGTGGGTCACCAGGTCCATCCTCACTGTAGTGTTTTCCTAGCTACTACCTCCTGTGCGCTAGCTAGCATCCTTTTTGACTGCAGCCTGCCATGCATACCAAAAAAAGGGTACAACACGTAAATGTCAGCTTAGTGGAGTGCTCTTAAATGTCCTCTTGACAGCTGGGAAAATAGGTCACCCCCATCTTGGTTTTCTTCATGAGGTTTTGGCTATTCTTTTCCTTTTATACTTTTATGTGTATTTTAGAATCAGAGACAGTTTCTTAAGTACTACAAAAAAAAAAAAAATCCTACTAGGATTGCATCGAATCCACCCACCTATTTGACCAGAAATGGCATTTTTCTGCATTGGTCTATCATAAAACCACAACCTACATACCCAAAACAAGAAATAGAAAGAACATTGCCAGTACCTCCCTCTCTCTTGCCCCAAGATAACCACCATCCTGACTTCTAGAGATATGGTTCTTTTTTTTTTTTAACTTTTACAAATAATCCTTGATGCTTTTTTCTTTCTTTCATTTGTTCTTTTTGTTTGTTTGTTTGTTTGCTGGATATTCCCTTTAAACTGAGATATAATGCACTCATTTTCTTTGCTGTATAGACTCTCAATGTCTAAATGTAGTAAAGTTTTTTATCCAGTTGACTATTGATGAACAGTATTTGGCTTATCTAGAGTTGGAGATCATTATGAAAATTGCAACTATGGACATTCATACACTTGTGTTCTGGTGGATACGTGCTCATATTTTTGTCAAGCATACACCTAAAATCAGAATTTCTGAATGATGGGCTATGCATTCCTCAAAATGACTGGAAAGACCCAATTAATCTTCAAAGTAAGCATATCAATTTACTTATCTATAAATGGATTTCAGTTGCTGCACATGCTAAGAAAAATTAGAATCAATTTCAAATTTTAGACATACTGTTGGATGTGTCTTCTTTGGTCTCATTTTGCATTTCTTTGATTAGTAAAGAAGTTAAACAACTTTTTATGAAAACCTTTTTTCTTAAAGTGGCTATTAAATCTCTTGATCATTTACCTTTGTTTATTTTAGGCTTTTTAAATGAATTAATATAGCTTGATTTTAATATTTTGGATATGAGCTCTTTGGCAGCTATACTAGTAGCATCTGTGACTTGCTTTTAAAAATTCCTCAGAGCTATCTATTGATAAAGAGAAGTTCTTAATTTCAGCATAGAACAATTTAGTAATCTCTTCCTTAAGAGTTAACACTTTCTGTGTCCAGAGAAATCTCTCTTGATTCCCAGGTAATGAAAAGATTCTTCTATCATCTTCCAAAATCTATATGGTTTCTCTTTCACATTTATATTTTTTTATAAACCTGAAAATGACTTTTGGAGTTTGGTATAAAAGGGGTCAGGTTTTATTCTTTTTCCATGTGAATATCCTACTAAATGTTTACTGAAAAGATTGTCCTTGCCCCTCTGCTGGGTCATCTTTATCATAACTCAGGGTGATTCTACTTTATTTTTGGTACTGAGGATTCAACTCAGGGGCATTTGACCACTGAGCCACATCTCCAGCCCTATTTTGTATTTTATTTAGAGACAGGGTCTCACTGAGATGCTTAGTGCCTTGCTTTTGCTAAGGCTGGCTTTGAACTCTCAATCCTCCTGCCTCAGCCTCCCGCTGGGATTAGAGACATGAGCTGTCGCGTCCAGCTATGTGTAATTCTATTTTAAAGTGCCATATCCCATCCTATTGATGTATTTGTATATACTTCTACCAGTGCTCTACCATCTTCATTTTAGATGTATTATAAATTTTGACATCTGGTCAAAAGAATCTTCCCACTTGTTCTTTTTCTTGACCATTATTATATTTATTTCAAAAGCAGTTGTTAAACTCACCCTCTCCAGACCTTACTAGAATTTTAATTAGAATTGCATGGCGGGGAGGGGGTTTGTGGCTCAGCAGTGGAGCGCTCACCTAGCACAGGTGAGGCCCTGGGTTCGATCCTCAGCACCACACAAAAATAAATAAATAAAATAAAGATATTGTGCCCAACTACAACTAAAAAATAAATATTTTTAAAAAAGAATTGCATAGACCCACTTGAGGATGAACTACATCTTTATTGTAATGAGTCTTTTAATTCACAAAAATTGACAGTTCCTTCCTTTCTTTAATTTCCCTAAATGATGTTTTATAGTTTCCTGAGTAAGGGAACTTTACGTCCTTAATAATTTATTACTTGGAATTTGATATTTTGGGATATTTTCAACAATGCTCTCTTTTTTAAAAGGCTTAGTTTCTAGTAATTTATTATCGACATATGAAAATACAATCGTTCTTTTTACATTTACCTTATATCTCACATTGCTAAACCCATTTGTAAGTTCTAGAAATTTGTCTACAGATGTTTCAGTTTTCTCTGTAAAATACTGCATCATCTGTAAAATTAGTCTGAGTTGTTCATTTACAAATCAGAGAACTTCTCTTCCTTTCTCTTGCCTTATTTTACTTGCTGAGATGTGCCACACGGTGGTGAATGGAAATGGTAAGAGTGACATCCTTGTGTGGTTCCAAATTCAAAAAGAAAGTTGTGTTGGGTGCAGTGGTGCACACCTATAATCCTAGTGGCTTGGGAGGCTGAGGCAGGAGGATTGCAAGTTCAAAGCCAACCTCAGTAACTTAGCTTAGTCCCTAAGCAATTTAGCAAGACCCTGTCTCAAAACAAAAAAATAAAAAAGGCTGGGGATGCGGCTTAGTGGTTAAGTTCAACCCCTGGTACCGGGGGAAAAAAAAACTTTCAATATCTCTCAATTATGATTTCTGCTGAGGTTTTCGGTAGTGGTCCTTTGACCACATTAGGAAGAGTGTGAGGGGCTGGGGCTGGGGCTGTAGCTCAGTGGTAGATTGTCTGCCTTGCATGTGTCAGGCACTGGGTTCAATCCTCAGCACCACATAAAAAAAATAATAAATTTTTTAAAAAATAGAAGAGTGTGAGCTGGGGGTAAAGGTCCAGTGATACAGAGCATCTGCCTAGCAAGTAGGAGGCCCTGGGCTCAGCCCAGCACTGAAAAACAAAATACAATAACAAACAAACAAAAAAGGACTATTCTAAACTTGTTTCACTAAGACACTTGACCACGAATTGATGTTGAATTTTACCAACACTCTCTGTGTCTGTTGAGATAATCTTACGGTTATTGCTGTTGATTTTCACTTGTCTGATGTGACAGCGTACTAATCTGCAAAAGTCAAACCCACTTTGAATTCCTGGAATAGAAGCAATTGAGTCTGGTTCTTTTAAAATATTGCTGGATATTATAGGTTAGTACTCTGTTAACTTTTTTTTTTTTTTCCTGCTTACGTTTCTGAGTGAAATGGGCCTGTAAGTCTCCTTTCTTGGAATGCATTTATGAAGTGTCTGGTATCAAGATAGTGCTAACCACACAAAATGAGTTGGGGTGTGTGTTAGTTTCCTGGGGGTGCCATACAAATCACCACAAACCTGATGGCTTAAGACAACAGAATATTCCCCAACAGCTCTGCAAGCCAGAAGTCTAAAATCAAGAGGACAAACTGGCGGAACCAAACGTGCGCTGAATGCTCTCTGGGAGAAACCTCTTTACCTCTGTTGGCATCTGGCAGCCCCAGGCAGTGTGTGGAGTCTGTTGGGTTGGGGCTTCATTGCTACAATTTCTACCCACTTCTTCACATGACTCTTCCCTGTCTGTGCCTTTACCACCTTCAAAAGACACACATCAGTAGATTTAGGGCACATTCCAATCCAGTGTGACCTCCTTTTGAAGTTCTTACCTTAATTACATTTGCTAGGACTTCTATTCCAAACAGAGTCACATTCCAAGACTCTGGGTGAACATGACTTTTTTCTTTCATTTTTTTTTTTTTTGTAATTGTAGATGGACAGAATGGCTTTATTATATTTGTTTATTTTTATGTGGTGCTAAGGATTGAATTCAGTGCCTCACACAGGCTAGGCAAGCTCTCCATCCCTGAGCTACATTCCCAGCCTTGAACATATCTTTTCAGGGTCACAATTCAACTCACTACAGGGTATTTTTCATTTTAGTGATTCTCTGGAAATGTTTGGGTAGGACTAATCTTCTTTTTCTCCTTAAGTATTTAGTCGGATTTACTGGTGAAATGTCTGAGCCTGACATTTCTTTGGTGGAGGACTTTAAAAGTTATTCTCTTATTATTCCATTCTCTCCTCTATTACATTAGCAATTAAATAATATTTTTTTCTGTTATTTTAGTGGCTACATTAGAAATTACAAATGCATCCCTATTATTACTGAAGTTTAATATTTATTCCCTTTATATTATTTTAATTTCATATTTTTAAACATACAAAACATAATTTCTAAGACATAATCATTGTTGTTTTGTATGTTAATATGTACTTAGAATTACCCACATCCTTATGTTTCCTGTGTTTATATTTTCAATGTTTATTTTGCCATTATAAAGGATATAACATAGACAATTACTCAACATTAACATTTATTTCTGTTCTTATTTGTAATTGCTTTGCAATATCCTTACAAAAATACAATTGCATGGAAAATTATTTAGTCAGAGTTTACTATCTGCTGGGAACTCTCCTAGGACTTATCAGGGCAACTGTCTTAAGTAATTAATTCCAGGGGACACCTAAGAATATGTGGAAATAATGCTCCTGAGGTTGCTTGATTTGATGCCCCCCAGAGATGTGCAAATCAGTAACCCTAACGTAAGACATTGAGTTAAAAAAATGTTCTAGTATATTTAAAATAACTTCCTGTGCCTAGATAAAATTACCAAAGGGAAATCTAACAATAGTTCCAATAGGGCTGTGGGTGATTTTTCAAATACATCTTCCTTCTTTCTAAAACTTCCTAATTAAATGTTAAACACATAAGTTATTTACCTCCTCCTTTCTGCTGTTAATTATTACTAAACTCACAGACAGGAAGACAGGCAGGGATTACTTTTATGGATAAAAGTCACTAAATAAATTGTTTTTATTTTCTCTTCATTCATCTCAAAGCTTCCAGAAATTCTTCCTTCAATGCAAATTTGCTCTTAAATGTACTAAGAATTATATAGAAACTTGAGAGCCATCTATATGACCATCTACTTTCTGCTTGAATCATATTCCACAAACATTACTTCCAAAGTGTTAGCCAGCTCCATTGAAATTAAAGAGAGTCTGAATAAGCAGAGTCAGAGTCACCTGGAAACTTACCAGAAACGCAGAGTCTCAGGCCCCTAAGCCAGATCCTCTGAAATAGAACCAACCTTCTAACAAGATCCCAAGGTAATTCATAGGCACAGAGCAAGAGTGGGAAGCCCTGATCTAGCCCCTGCCCAAACACTTGCAGCAATAAGGAATGCACTGCCTTCCAAGGCTCACCATCCCACATCTGAGCATCTTTTACTATTAGAAAATATTCTTTATACTGGACCAAAATATTTCCTCCAAACCCGAGGAACTCTACTGACAAACCTAATTCCTCCACATGGTGATCCATCAAATATGTGTAGGAAAGATCATGTCCCACTTGAATCTTCTTTCCTCCAGTTTCTTTACTCTTCCAGTTTGTTCCAATTTCTTTACTCTCCCCTTAGATGGCAAGATTCCAAGTTCTCTCCCATTCAACACATGCTATGGCTTCAAGTCTTGCTCTATATTCAAAGAAAGTTGGAGCAGCAGTGGACCATCACCAGGGTCCCCAAAATGAGCTGAGTAATGACTTCCCTACCAAAAGTTATGCCATTCCCATCTCACAGGGGTAGGATCTCAATTTATCCCTACACTGACTTGTCCTGGCATTGTGGATTTCTTTTATTGATTGATTTATCTGTTGCTACATTACAGCCGTACACGGTAGTGGGATTCATTGTCACCTATTTGCATAGGCCCATAACATAATTTGGCCAATTTCATTCCACTCAGGTATTACGAATTTTAATTCATTCAACATAATATCAGTGCAGTATAGTGGTGCATGCCTATAATCCTAGCAACTGGGGAGGCTGAAGGAAGAGGCTTGCAAGTTTGAGGCCAGTCTCAGGAACTTAGCAAGACCTGTCTCAATATAAAAACCAAAACGGGTGGGGATGTAGCTCTGTGGCAAAGTACCCCTGGGTTCAATCTTGACTACTGGAAAAAAAAAAATCAATACCAACAAAGGCCAACTGAAGTTTTTGTTATTAGTTTGTTGTCGTTGTTGTTGTTTTGGGGTGTGTGTGTGTGTGTGTGTGTGTGTGTGTGTGTGTGATGTTCCCAGCACTGTTTTGTGGAGAATGCAAATAAACATAGGCTACTTCTCAAGGAACTTACGATCTGTTTGGGGAAATGACATACAAATATATCAGTATCTTAAATATAGCATTCAGTTGCCGGAATGTGTGAATGAAACTTTTGAATACCTGAGGAACTTAAGTAAAGGATAGGTCATTATAAATTGAGGAAACCAAAGGAGAGTAGTGATAGAAAGAGAATGCTCTTTAAGTTAAAGACCTTGGTAGGCCTAATGTGGTGCAGGCCTGTTAATCTCAGCGACTTGGGAAGCTGGGGCAGGGGGATTGCAAATTAGAGGCCAGCTTCAGCAACTTAGTGAGACTCCTTTTCAAAATAAAAATAAAAATGAAATGGACTGAGGGTGTAACTCAGCACCCCTGGATTCAATTCCTAGTACCAAAAAAAAAAAAGACCTTGGTAGGACTCCTGGTTTTGATACTTCATGCATGTATTTATTAGGAAAGTACTTGATCTCCTTGCACTTTAGCTTCTTTGTCAATATTTGGCATAGAAAGTGGTTGTGAGGCAAATGAAAAGACATACGTTAGGCTGAGGAATAGGGGGGACAGCAGCGTGGGGTAGAACAAACTCTGCATGTGATGGCCTAATCCCTATTAAGAACTCATCCTCATTGGCTGCCCCATAAGAGCCACGCCAATTTCAGTTCACTATGGGGGAGACTTTAAAAGACCACGGGTAGTGCTAAGGGAATGAGGATACCTTGGGAGGTTGTGAGCTCCATTATGTCACTTGGGGACTTCAAGCAAAGCCTAGAGAACTGGGTTCCAGGGAAGTTGGGGAGAGAATGTCCACCTAGAAAGGAGGTTGGACCAAGTGACTCTAAGTTTTCAACTTGAACTACTGGAATGTGGGCTTCTCCGTGGGGGGAGTGGCATGGGAACGGACTCTGCACCCAGCTAACCTCTTTCTTGGCTTCTTCTGCAGACTCTTCAGAAGAAACCTGACCCCCTGCCAGCCGAGGACCCCTGCACCACCATTTATGTGGCTGCCACAGAGCCAGTCCAGGTAAGAGAAGGCATCTCTCGGTGCCTTTCCGCTGCAGAGAGGGAATAGGTAGAGAGGGGAAGGGGCGGGGAGCGGGTTTGGGTTTTGTTTTTCTGTGGTGTTGAAATGGAACAGATGGGTGAGTCCTGAACTTGGAAGGTAGCCCATGGCAAGCAGTCAGCCAAGGGAGAGCTGTGACCTCGGTTCTAGGGCTTGCATGAAACTCCTTGCTCCTCCTTGTGACATGAACTGTGACTTACTCCTTGCACTAGTGTTTCTCTGAGAGTCGTGTAAAGACCCCATCAGAGCTAGCACACTTGTTAAAAATAAAGATGCCTGGGGCCTTCCCACCTAGAACTCTGTTAAATCAGAACATCGATGGAGATGACCCAGGGACTCACACATTTAAAAATATCTTCTAGGTGATTGTTGTGCGTACTTAAGTTTAGGGGTTGGACTTTGGGTCCAACAGTTCTCAACTCCACCTGTAGAACAGAATCACCAGGGGAGCCTTGTAAAACTGCTCCTGCCTTCTGTTGAACTCTGATGTGGTAGCCCGTGAATAGGCACACGTTAATCAAGAATGAAATTTCATTTAAAAAAAACTATCTTCGTGGAAATGCTCATGCCTAGACACTGTCTGCCACATTTAATCAGAGTATTTAGGGCTGACGCTCTGCATAGGCTTTAATAAACCCCAACCCGAGACCCACCTGCTCCACCCGCTTGCAAGGTCGGCATGGATTGCGCTTAACGTCGGACAGGATTCTCTCCTTCACTAGATGAACAGAAAGAAATTCGGAGCTGAAATCTTGGCTCCAGTTGGGCTCGACTGAAATATTAGGGGAGACAGAATGACAGAGGCACAAAGACACAAATATTTCTACATTTCTCTCTCTTCTTCAAAGCTCTTCCTGCACATGCACCCAAACGTGCCCAGAGAGGTGCCCTGTTCCAAATAGATATTCCTCTTAAGATCTATTCTCAGTACACTGTCAAATCCAAGAGGGAAGTAAAAATATAAATTTGATTTAAAAGGCTTTGAAAAAAAAGAACGTAGTTTTTTTTAATGAAAAATAAAGTATGTTATATTTTATAGCAAAACCTCCTACATTGCCCCTTCCTTTCTCTTTCTTTCTGTGACTCTCCTTACCCTCTTGGGGGTTCTTTGCCCAGAATCCTCTTCTCCCCTCCACCCTTCTCTCTTGCTGATACCACTTCTCCTATCACACTTTAGGTCTTGCTAGCCTTTTAAAAAAAACTATATTTTTTATTTGTTTCTGGATATTTGTTTATTTATTTATTTATTTATGCTGAGAATTGAACCCAGTGCCTCACACATGCTAGGCAGGAGCTCTATCACTGAGCCACAACTGCTAGCCCTTTTTAAAGCTCACTAATCTAGAACTCTCCAAACTGTGCCCCATGCCTACAAATGGTGTTCCTAATAAAGGCAGAGAAGAGAGCAGACGGAAAGGCAGGGCACTGAGTGCCTGTCCTCCGTTGACTGGGGAAAGGTCCCCCAAGCTCTCTGATGACACGCTTATGCTTGGAAAGTGGGGCAGTGGTTTGGGGACCCAAGTGCGGCCTTCAGCAATGCCCTGTGGTAGACTCTGAGCAAACTGCTGTGCTCTGTGACTCCTCCTCCCTTTTCTTTGTTCTAAGCGATGTTTCCAATCACCCCATCCCTCCACTCACAGCCTCCTGCTTTGCCCACAGGAACCAAATCCCATCACAGTCTATGCCAGTGTGACCCTTCCAGAGAGCTGACACCACAGACCCAGGGAAGAGACTTTCCGAAGGAAAACAGGAGTACCAAAGACAAAAACACTGAACTTGGCCCCCGGCCCTGAGACACTGTGCACATCTGTACCATGTTCGCATCCACGGTGTGGTGGTGTTTCTTCACCCATGCCTGTGAGTCGGAGATGGAGGTGGGTCTTCCCAGGTGTTCAGCCTGCTCTGCAGCCAACGCAGACACAGAACTGAGAGCTACTGGATACAGTTTTCCAGCTTTAGTGGAGAACGTGAGTCCAGACTTCCAGACTTCTCACTCGTCCCTGGGATGGACACTAAAATTCAAAAACAGAAAGCCCGGACATCTAGTGCCTGTCCCAGCTGGCCGACCAACAGCCCCAAAGTCTTGTTTGTCCTTTGTCCTGGGAACGGATCCAGATCACCTTCCAACCGGATCAAGGCTCTGCACCTCAGTTTCTCTCTCTGAAGAGTGAATTCTCTTATACATAAAACACTCTAAGACTGCTCTATAAAAGAAGCTAAGAGATTTGATATTTTAGATGCAAAACCCAGGAGCTTAAAAAAAAAGTCAATAAACTGAAAGAAAGACTTTAAGGTCTTGGAGCTTTGAACAGTAGAATGGAAACCTTCTAAGGTTTTTAAAAGTATAGTTTTGCACAAACAACATTCTGTTGTTGTTGTTGTTGTTGTTGTTGTTGTCGTCGTAGTTGTTTTTAAGTGTTGAGTGTTCAGTGATTCTAATATAAAGTAACTTGAGATACTCAGAGGAACTTGTTTGTCCCAAGGAGATTTTTCACTTCCTAAAATAATTTTTTTATTTGTTTATTGCTACTAGGGATGGAATCCAGGAGCAATTTAACAGAGCTAACTGAGCTACATTCCCACCCCTTATTTATGTTTTATTTTGAGATAGGGTCTTCCTACATTGCTTAGGACCTCACCAAGTTGCTGAGGCTAGCCTCAACCTTGCAATCCTCTTGCCTCAGCCTCTCAAGCTGCTGGGATCACAGGCATGCACCATCCTACCTGGCTCCACAATGATTTTTTTAATTGCTTTTATTTTTTAAATACATGCATGACAGCAGAATGCATCACAATTCTCATTACACATATGGAACACAATTTTTCATATCTCTGTATATAAAGTATGTTCACACCAACTCATGTCTTCATACATGTACTTTGGATAAGGATGTCCATCACATTCCACCACCATTGTCTAAAATGATTTTTAAATTCATGGATTCCTTAGTTTCTGTTTACTCCCTTGAGTGACAAGTTGGGAGCCTCAGCTAAGACTCTCTGCTGGTTCTGAACCCATTTACATCCCACGCCTCATATGAAATTGGAGGTCAGAGTTACAACAAGGCACTTCCTACTTCCTGAATACCTCTTTTCTTGCTAAATTTACCTTCAAGTGGAGAATTAAATTATTTTGACCCAACAGTTTCAAGTAACTGGATGATCAATCACTTTGATTCCTGGCTGCAAACGCAAAGAGCCTCTTTCAGTAAACTCCCGGTTTCTCCCTGTTCTCTCCTTTTAGACAGGCCATCTTTCAAAATAAGGGCTTCTTTTTCTTAAGGGTTCTTGTATGACCTTGGTGAATAATTTAAGAAATAAATAAATGAATTACCAATCATTGTTTCATTGTCTAACAAGGAGCACCAACTCCCCAGTGCAAAATTCTTTATGAAGCCTTTGTCTCTTACCTTCTCTGTTCAGCCAATTTACATTTGAGGTTCCGGTGCCCCTTTCCTGGTACCAACTTCTGTGATAGTTTCTTAGTTGTGATCAACACAAACTGACTTTGTCTGTTTTATGCAGAAAAGGAACCTATTGAAAAGATATCAGTTAGTTCCAATAACTGCTGGGAGACTCTGCAAAACTGTGCTTTGAAAGTGAGCAGGAAAAAGGGTCAGGACCATAGCCAAAATTATAAAGCCCCGGTCAGCTGTGGTGATGCACATCTGTAATCCCAACAACTCAGGAGGCTAAGGCAGGAGAGTCTCAAGTTCAAAGCCAGCCTGAGCAACCT